CCATGAGACCGACAGCCACGCCGAGCCCCCACCCTGGGCCCAGCAGGACAGGGAGCCGCATGGCGATCCCGGGATTGAGGGTCCAAGTTCAGGAGGGGACGAGGAAACCGTGCAGCCAAGCAGGGCCCAGGGCTGAGGGCGGGGGTCTCAGCGCCTCCGGTTCCACTCGCCTCGCACCCAGGCTCCGGCCCAGTCTCCTCCCCTCCCCCCTCCCAGCTCCTCTCCTGCTTATGTCCTGGGCAGACATCAGGGGGAGCCTGCGTCCTGGGGAGGAGGGGGTGGCCCAATGCTGCGCACGGGCCCAGGTGACCCTTTTAGCCAATGTGCTGGGCCCAGGGCCTGGAGCACCTGGGAGATGGGAAGAGCCTCCCCTCGAAGCTCACGTAACAGGAAGCCACCCCGTGCTACCCCCGCAGCCCCCGGACCGGACGGGCAGTTGCCTCTGCCCCTCCCTGGGGACACTGAGCACCAACCCCGGCCCCACCAGCTAGTGCTCCCGCCCCACCCTAGCTCACCCGAGTGGGGGAGCCATCGGGGTCAAAGCCAGGGTCCCGGTCTCCTCTGCATGTAATGGGACATGGCTGGGGTGGGGATGGGGTCCAACAAGACCCCCGGGCCCGCCCATGCACCCACGAGGCCTCGGGGGCGCCCGGATGCCGTCTGGTATCTGCCACGGGCCTGGCGCGGTTGGAGGCGCGAGCGCGGAGGAGCCTGGCTCACCTGACGCCCATCTTGCAGTCCATCACGCAAGGCGAGTCGAAGTCGGCCAGCAGGTCATCCATCTGGTTGTAGCGCTCCCCGTCCTTCACCACGTCCCCGTGGTAGGCCGGCACGTAGGGCCTCAGCACGTCGGCCATCAGCCGGTCCAGGCAGCGCTGCTCCGACTCACAGTGCTTCTTCAGGATCCGGCCGTTGGCAGCCGCCTTGAAACTCCCTGCAGAGCGAGGGCCTCAGCGCAGGGCTCCCCACTGGCCCCACGCCCCGGGCCTGTCCCCTCGGGCTTGCTAAGCGCAGGCTGAAGGTCTCCATTGTGGACCGAGCACGTTGAGAGGAGTGGGTGCACGTCCCAGACCCCCCACACTGACGGCAACTCCATGTGACAATGGAGGGACCGGTGCTCACTGCTGGAGGGCGGCAGGGCCAGGGGCAGGTCTGTGCCAAGACTTACTCTCTCTCTGCATTTCCACTGCCATCCCCCTTCCACCCCCATCATCACTCCTGCTTCTCGGGCAACGAAGGCGTCTCTGGTCTCAGGAGAAACCCCGCTAGGACTGGTTAGGTGCCAGGACAGCAGCCTGGCTGAGAGCCGGGTCCACGCTCGCCCCCCTGGCCATGCCCCTGCTGAGCACGCTCTCAGGGGGCGTCTAGGGAGTGCATCCATTCCCGAGCCTGGGCTGCGCCCATGTGCTTGGGGTATAAGCTTCGGGACTATGGCCCTGAGGGTCCCTTAAGCTCCCATGTCAAAGCTCAGACCCAGGGAGACCCGGGGGCACCCAGCACAGCACCCGGGGGCACCTAGCACAGCGCGCCAGGCCCCGTGCTGGCTGCTGATGAAGGCCAGGCCACAGACAGCCACCGAAAGCCCTGGAGGACGCCACCAAAGGGCCCCGTGGCCTGGGCAGCTCCGGGCTCAGCTCCAGGTGCCCCTCCTCCCTGTCACTGAGAAGCAAACTAGAGCCACATGGCTGACTGGTGCCCTGGCACCCGCACCCAGCATGCCACCCGTCTCCCACCTACGGCCCCCTTCCAGCAGACGGGCACTCAGCACAGCGCCCAGGAACACCTAGCACAGCACCCGGGGACGCAGAAGGGGCCATCCTAAGGCAGGGAAAGTGGAGCTGGGTGGGGCAGCCTCACTAGCCCACTCTGGGCCCTTCTGAGAGCCCTTGGGTGCAGTGGGCAGAAGCACAGGAGACGGGGGCAGGGCAGCCTGGGCAGAGGGGCCCGTGTGCCCAGCGGCCTCCCAGGGAGCAGAGAGGCACAGCCCCTTTCAGAACCGACGGCTACGCCTTCTCCCCGGGGGCACGCTCTCTGGCCGGGTCTGAATGGACACCAACCAGGTTATTTATGTTTTCCCGTGAGAAGGTGCGTCCTGGTGCCCAGGGACGGGAAGGGGCGCTTCCTGGGACAGAAATGACTCTGGGGAAGGGCAGTGGCCAGGTGGGGGCCAGAGGGACAGTACGTCGTCTCCTCCCTGTGGGCTGCAGCTGGCGAGGGCCTGAGAGCGCAGGGAGGCAGGGACAGTGTGAGAGTAGAGTGGGACCTGCACTTCCCACCTGCCCTGCCCTGGGGTCACCACCACGGAGCCAGCACAGCGTCCGCCTGCGGGTCAGACTTTAGGACTCAGCGCCCGGAGGAGTGAGAAGGAAAGCGGGCGTGTGAGGCCTCCTGGCTTCTCTCTCTGTGTCTCCCTCTCTCCCATCCTCCTCCATTTCCTTTTATAAGAAATAAAACTGCTTAACCATCCAAAGCAAACAAGCTCCGCTCCGAGTGTGCTGCTCGCAGCCTGGCCTGCCCGGCGAGCGGAGG